AAGGGACTACAACTTAAGGAGAATCGATTTTGGGGGGGCTGGTGGTTGAGGCAATCAACCCCCAAGGCTCCATGGGGTCTTAATGAGTTTCCCAATCCCCCTCGGGCCTAACAAAGCTTTTTCACCTAATTACTGAGGGAAATGAATCCACAGCTTTGAAGGGGGGAGAAGAGGGCCTGGGAAGGCTTTTGGGACACTTTTTGGGGTCCTTGCGGTGGGATTTATGACCTGTAGGTGTAAAATATTAAAAATTAAAAGAAAAACTCAAATGAAAAAAGCATTTTTAAAAAAAATTTAATTAAGAGAGGGGAGCGCCTGGCCCCCTCGTAACGGACGTCAGAGCCTCGGCTGACACTGATAAAACCTCTTCCAACGCCGCTCCCGCCTCCTTCTGTCCTTGGGGAAACGCCGGGAGGATCCCAACCACCCCCCGAGCTCCAAAATCCTTTGATTTTTCGGCAAAAAATTTGCCTTATTTCCCCAGCTCCTTCCTGCAGAAACATTTTCTCCCCGCTGGAAACGCTTGACGAGCGGCCAAGAGCCGTTAATCGCGTTAAGGACATCCCTCTCCCATGGCGCGCGGGGAGCCCGGGCACCGCCCCCTCCTGCTCCTCTGCTGAGTATTTACCAAAAATGCTCGGTTTTCGTCATGGAAATGAAACGCCGGGGTTATTTTTTTTAAATTTCACTTCTGTGTTAGCCACCGGGTCGCACCCGGGGCTGCAATAGCGCGGCTCCGAGGCTGTTTCTGCGGCTCGAAATCCTTCTTTTTCATAAGGAAAGCGAGGATTTGAAGTGATAAACGTCCAAGAGCTTCATCTTAAAGTCAAACTCACTTTAAAACTCACTGAAAAATAAGGGTATAATGAGAATAATGTGGATTTTTTTGGTGGTTGTGAGTCCCGGCGGGCTCGCTTGTCGCCACGGGTGGGTCGTGAAAGCGGAGGCGCTCGTGTGAATAGAAATGTTAAATGAAATAGGATGAAATAGGATGAAATAGAATGAAATAGAATGAAATGGAATGAAATAGGATGAAATTAGGATGAAATAGGATGAAATGGAATGAAAGAGAATGAAATAGGATGGAATAGAATGAAATTAGGATGAATTAGGACAAAATTAGGATGAAATAGGACGGAATTAGAATGAAATAGGACAGAATTAGGATGAAAGTAGGATGTAATTGAAATTAGAATAAAATAGGACAGAATTAGGATGAGATAGGACGGAATTAGGATGAAATAGGACGGAATTAGGACGAAATAGGACGGAATTAGGATGAGGTAGGACGAAGTTAGGATGAAATTAGGATGTAATTGAAATCAGGATGAAATAGGATGGAATTAGGACGAAATTAAGAAGAAATAGGATGAAATTAGGACAAAATTAGGATGAAATGGGACGAAATTAGGACGAAATAGGGCGAAATTAGGACGAAATAGGGCGAAATTAGGACGAAATAGGATGAAATAGAGTGAAATAAACAATAAAAAAGCAATTCCCACTCTTTTTTCCCCTCAATCTGCCCCCTAAAACCTCTCCCTTGTGCCACCCAGCCCAGGGACTGAAAACGCAAGGCTTTTTTTGGGTGGGTTTTACCCTCTCTGAGCAGTCGGCGTGCTCAGCTCTTGGCTCAAAACCGATTAAAACCCGACCAGAATGACCTATCTACAAATAATTCGCTTTTTTCACTTGGCCTCGCTCCCCTTGCCCCGATCCTGAGCCTTGCGCTCGCCGCTTCCCGAGGCGAAAGCTCGGGCACCGAATAGGAAACTTTCGGCTTAATTGTCCCCTGGAGGTGACTTAAACCCAAATCTCCTTACCGTCTTAAATTTAATGGTCGGACTCGGATAGAGCCGCTTAATCCCCTGCCTTTTGTCCTGGTTGTAAACAGAGACGGGAGAGGGAGCCTTTTTTTAGACCGGGCCTGGCTCTCGCTTCACTTAACCCCGCGAGGCCTCGGTCCGTCCTCCTCGATCGATTTTTCTCTTCATTTTTCTATAGGCTGACAAACAAAGCCGACCCCTGTATCTGTAGCTGTCGGCGTGGCTATATCGAGCGGCCATATGTGCCCAGATATTCCCTCCGCGGCCGGCGCTGGGTGATGTTTCCCCGGCTTTGAAGCCGCCCCGGCAGCGGAGACCGATATCCCCTTACACATTCTCCTCCAGGAATAGCTTGGGCTGAGCCGCCGGGGCCGCGCCAGCCAAAAAAATCCCCCATCCTCATCTCCTGAGGGCATCTTCCACTGAAATGCTCATACCCCGCGGCCGCTGGAACCTCCTCCTCATCTTCCTCCTGGCAGAGGAGGCGCAGGAGAGATACAGCAGCCGCTGATATTTAGAATTTAGGGCGCCGTGGCAAAGCGTTGGGAGGGTGAGGTTGGGTTGGGGTTGAGTTGAGGAGGGTGAGGTTGGGTTGAGGAGGTGTAGGAGTGGCGGGCCCC